GCAGCCTGTGACCCTTTTTACATCCTGCACTTCAACATATGCTGCTTAAAGATCATAGCAAGATTTGTTAGCAAGTAGCAGGTGACAGGTTGTTGAAACATGATAAAATAGCAAGAATTTTCAGTGTGACATTGAAAACGGCAGGAAGGGAAGAGGAGAGAATCTGTGGACAGCCTGCACTGAACACCGTAAGGATGTAAGTCCCCTGTTCAGAAGCAGAGACTGTGCAATGCAAGGTTGCCAACTGTCCGGTTAGTGTAGGGATGCTGGAAGGCTCTAGAGTGAAACTCCATTTGTCATGCCCTCATTCCACCCTAAAACCTGCTGCTAGTTAGGAGATGAGTCATGCAGCCCTGCAGATATCTGCATTCACTTGAGAACTGCCCCTCCAGAAGGTTCTGGATCTCTTTGGTGATAAAGCAAATCCAGAGGACTATCTTGGATAGATCTTCACAGTGTAGGAGGTGATCAAATTAGATGAAACAAATCCCATTATAATAAGGTAGAACTCTGGGCACTTTGAGCTTTCTGAACTGGTTTCAGAGCATATCTGTGCAACATCTGCCCCAGGGACATCTGGATCTTGGCTTATAGAGCTCATCCATGTAAACTAGAATTTGGGATGAGCTGAGCAAGAATGGCTGAAGGGCATTTCCAAGTCCTGCTGTAGCTGTGAGGGTGATAGTAAGTCCCTGTTGACCGAAAAGGTCATTTTTATTTTCACATCAGCTCTTTACCCTCTAGAACGGCCGCCCGCTAGCGGAATCCAACTCTCTACATAATCAGCAAGGTGGATGCACCTGATCCATGTCCCATACCCGGACCACGTTGTTTGCTTTGTGGGATGCGGTCAGTCCATCGTCTCGTGTCTGGCTTGTGAGCAAATACAGGTTTTCCAGCGGTGGACAGACACCACTCAGGAACAGAGACTGCAAGATTTCATCAGGTGGCTTCTGTTTCAGAAATTATATTTGGACTTGTGAACTCTGAGGAATTCAGGTCTCAGAGCAGAGGAAATGTTGGAAAGAGGTCAGGCAAGTTGCACTCCCACTGGGTTACCCAGGGCAGTAAATAGCACGAATTCCAGGGCAACATCTGATTTTCTGCTTTTACGAGGCAGATGTTTAGGAGAAATTATACACTGTTTATTTTAATTGCCATCTTCCAAACCTCCTTCCTACATGTACGTACACATTCTGAAACCATAAATAAGGATTCTTCAGGCCTTGCTGTTATTTGGGTAGTTAGCCCTGTCTTCCATCAATGCCTGGATAGGGCGGTGTGCTGCACACCCAATTCTTTTTGCACATCAGTTTTACAGTGGTGTAAATCAACTAGGTCTTACTCCTTTCTCAGTGACACTAGCATAAATCTGGAGTCACTCCACTGACGTCAGTGCTGCAATAGCAGTGTAAAGGACGATTAGCCCACTTGACTTCAGAGTATTGCTGCTGATTTACACCAGAGCAAGAGCAAAAGTAGTTGGGCGCAGCATGTACTAGCACTGCGTTACTGAATGGCAGGCCAAGTTTTGCTCTGGGATACGCAGGTGGAAATGCAGAACAGCTCTACTCATTTCACTGGCACCGTACTGGTGAAAATGAGTTTTACCTTAACCATAGTTTGAGTCCCAGGGAGCTCCACATACGCAGTGCATTGGTGAAGAAAGAGAATAAACCATTATCATTTAGGAGAGTCATATAGGGATGACTTCTCTAGATTTTCCTGCCTTCTATAGATCTAGAAGTGAAAAACACTGGCTGTAAAAGGGCTTCTTATCCCTCTTGGTGATGTGCTGAGGCATCAGCCCAGAGATTGCAGATTCAAGCAGAAGGAAACATGAAAGGCAGCCTTGCTTCTGATATATTTGCTCTCCAGTGCTGAAACCTGCTAACTGTAGGGCTTCCTATACAACCTTGCTCTTCAGAAGGACTTTGGCCTGGAGGGTCTGGGTTTCTGGTGGCTGCTGGCTGGGAAGGTGCAGGGTGAGATGATGGCTTCAGCCACCAGCAGCTTTGCTGAGTTCAAGTCTGTGAAGACAGGCTGATTTACACCAGCTGGCTGGCAATCTTCTGTTGGCATCTGGCCAATCCTCTAATTGTTCCTAAGTGACTTTCTTTTCCAGTAGCGTGCTCTTGCACTGAGTGGCTCAGTTTGCATACAGGGAAATGCAGCCATGTGTAACACGACTGCTTTAAAGTCAGTGAATTGAAATAGGGTCTGTTTGACCTACTGGGTAGTCTGGAGATGTCACAGAGCAGGATAGGACCATATGAGTTGGAGGTAACTAAGCCCTCCACCTATCCTCTCTCTCTCTATATATATATTTTATTTATTTAATAGAGGATCTTCTTTATCCAGCTCTTTTCTGAGAGCAGCTTTCCCTTCCAGCTCTTTTCCCAGAGCAGCTTTCCCTACGCTGGCAGAGGTCACAGGCAGCACGAGAACCAGCCAACCCTGAGAAGAACTGCAGTCCATCCCTTCCCAGTACTCACTGTCCAAGGGTGTGGACCCAGCGGTTGTCTACAGACCAAGGAAAATAAGCCTGTTCTCCAAACAGTTGGTGCATCAGATGGTTCCCAAGCCCCTGCTGTGCCTCTGCAGGGAGGGATGCCCACTGCAAGGTGCACGTTGGTGCGAGGAGCCGGGGACGGAAAGGTTGAGCTGTTGGTCTCACCAGGGATGGTCCCTGCGCCAGAGGCACATGCTGCTGTCCCCTCTCTCTCCACACAGTGGAAAGCAGCCCTGTGTTACGCAGTAAAGAAAATAATTTGAGCTAAGAGAATACAACCCAATTTTTTCCCACCCTTTTTGTTCTGTGTAGAAGTGAAAAACTTAGATGATGAATTCACTGGCAGGAAAATAGTCATGAAACAAAACTGTGATTGTTGTCATAGAAACCTGACTACAAAAGTTAAGCTTATCCAATGAAGGAGCAGAAATAGGCCATAGGACTTATGTGTCCTATCAAAACTAATATGCATGGCTTGGATTTAGAATACTAAAAAGTCACCATTAGAATAATAATGTAATGAAACCTACAGCTGTTGAGAAGCATAGACTTCTTTCAGGTTGTTCTTAGTAAGAACCAAGTCAGGACCTTGGAGACTGATCTGTGAGGGATGAGGATGTTTAGTAGCTCCATTACAAGCAACAAAGCTCGTTCCAATTAGAAAAAGAGGCGATTAAATCATAGGGGTTGAGGGAGACAGAGTTAGAAGCCTAGCCTTGCTTCAGAGCTCCCTTTTCTGAATGTACACATGCCATTTGTTCAGCCCATTCCCTCCTTTCCACATAAACTCTTCGTTCTAAAACTGATTTTGCCCTTGGAGTTTGCGGCTTGGTTCAAGTTTCCTTGTAAGCTTAAAAGCTCCATCTATAGGACAGTCAAAGAAGAGCCCCTTGGCTTCAACTTGATGAAAAAGGCAGAGAAGCTTGCTCAGAGATTCCAGCCTTGTTCTGGAAAGCCTCCAGCATGCTTAGCATACCGCATTGCAGAATGTCACTGATTTAATCTTTGTTGCTTCATATTTGGGTATGGTTTTCTTCCTCTGTTAAACCATTAGCCTTTGATACTGTTCTGCATGACTATATGGGGCTGAATTGTCGATTGAAATCACTGGAGTTGCGGTAGCTGCTGTTATTTTGCATTGGAAATCTCAAGGATTTTCTAAAAGCTCTTGATTTGCAAGATTTCTGGGCCACAGTTGTGGCATTGTTAGGTTTTGATAGCCTGAAGTGCCCTGTATGCAAAACTAAACGATAACATGGTTAATATGTCCAAATCGTCTAAATACAACTGATTTAGAAAATCAGTTTTTCCATACCCTGGTTTAATGATTGCCAGCCTAAGTTTACACTTCACTGCACTAGCTGCACCAGCAGAAGTAACAGCAGTAATTGCAGTCTATAGATACCTTTTTTTCCAGAAGGAGGAAATATAAAAGGTGAAAGACTTTTCTTCCTTTTTTTTTTTTGCACTGTAGAATCCTCCTTGCCAATCAGTTCTCCAGAGTACTATTGATTTTGTGCTCAGTTTAACTCTGCATCCTGAAGTGTTACACCCTAACATTAAGAGTTGCCCCATCATTAATAATCCCATGCACACATATTGTCCCCTATCACTCTGTCCTGCACAACCACAACCGTGGGCAAAGCCGTGTTTTCCTTCCTTTGAAATAGCCCAACCTGCAAAATCCTCCGGTTTGCCTCAGAGAACTCAGGACTCTTCCTCCCATTTGGTCACATTAGGGTGCAGAATAAGCCCCAACTTCGAGAACTCAGGACTCTTCCTCCCATTTGCTCACGTTAGGGTGCAAAATTGATCAGAGATTGGACATCACAGCTAAAGATGCTTGAAGGAAGGAAGGAAGGGTGGATGGGTGTGGAAGGAAGGAAGGAAGGAAGGGTGGATGAGTAGACAGACACTGCAGGGCAGATGGATGTAGATAGATGTTTTTAAGAACTGCTGGCAACTGGTAGTGTTGCAAATCATCTCTTTCATATCAGAACTTCAACTTCCATTTCCGCAAGAAATATAACGTCGTTTGGATACCCAAAATTCTTCTGAGGGAGACCGTGTGTTCCCAAGGAACAGAGATGCTTTGCTTTTCCTTTCTTCAGAATCATTCTGTCTTTAAAAGCTTCTTCCAATCAACGATAACCTTTGACATATATTTATTAAACTATTACTTTCAAATAAACGAAATCACAAGCATATCAACTACTTGTTCTTTTTTTCACCCTGAAGATTCACTTCCCGTTTCTTTGTTTAATATGTCCATCATCATTCAGATATATCCACAATCTATATTGGCGTCTACTTTGGGTACCTGTGGGTACTAAGTCACCCAGCTGTCCAGGGGATGCAATCCCTACCAAATGCTTTGGTAGATCACTCAGTTACATAGTTACCTGTCTCCTGGCTTTGGTGTTTGAATATCCCTTTATCCCCAATGTCTACTAAACTGATGTATCTTTTTCATTTCTCTGTCCCACAGAGATCCCGAGGTGTCCAGGAATGGTTGACAGCTGAATGGGTTGATGGACTCTCTTCCTCACCACCCTGAGCTCATGAGGGCTCTGAAGAGATCAAGCAGGAGCACGGCCTTGCTTCTCTGAGACTGGGGATGCTGTGGGAAGTAATTGCCTTGGCAAATGTCTTCATCCCTACCCATAGCCCATAGTCCATTGCTGGAAGAGAAGCTGATGAAGGATTAGCAGGGGACCAGGAAAAGCTCTACCAGCACTTCAAGCAGCAAAGGACACAGATGAGGGACCAGTGCTAAGAGAAGCATCATCAATGCAGATGAAACCCACTTCGTTCTGGGAAGAAGCTTAAAGACTCCCATGAATGGAAGGAAGTGAATGTCCAAATCAGCACAAAAGGTGCTGTAGGGTTTCCCTGTCACACTGTCCTTGCAAAGCACTTTTGAAAGTGAAGGGAATGTCAGGGCCACCTGGCCCTCTCCAGTGGCTAGTTTGGAAGAGATGTGGCAAGGTCACTTATGATCAGGTCAAGAGACCAC